ATGTGACAGATGGGTGTGGCAGGAGGGGTCTGATTTTCTATTCAATAGCTCTGTAACAAAACAAAATTGAAGGCTATAAAAATTATAGTTTTTTTTATCAATAACGATTTTATAGAAAGTATTTTACATTTACATGGCTCATCTACTGGGATGGTGCATTTATCAAATATGCTTTGAAAGAGGGCAAATTCTCAAGAATCCACAGTAATTGCTTTCATCATATTAAATTGATGGGCTGCATAGTCAGCATCTGAATGCTGTGCTCTCAGCATTTGTTGTTGCATTTTGTTTCTCTTGAAATCATTCAGTATTGCTCATTGTGGTTCTTGTGTACTGATTACTTGGGTAAAAATCAAAGGACTCAAGAAACTGATGAAGTTGTGTTTCCCTCAGGAAGACTAATCTTGATTTTGTTCACCAAGTGAGGTACAAGCATGCTCATTGGCATATAATGTGTTGCCATGCCATCTCTTTCTTAGATGGTTGCTACCAAGATATCGACTTAATTCATACCAAAACTGACAAATTTGGGATCCTACTGGATCCAATTTTGCTTTCTGAGGTCAAAAACTAAATCTGCATCGTCGTTTTCTGCTAAAAATTCTGAAACTTGTATGCTGGCATTCTGGGTGGCCTCATTTGAAGTATATGTTTCTGAGTCTGGCTTTGGACATCCCCGGACACTTGAAATAATCTCTCATATATACATTTTGCATTGTTCTCATTTAAAACTGTCCACTAATTCAATATCTTTTATCGAATATTGCTTTTTCAGGATTTGTTGGCAATTTCCACAGGACTATCATGTTTCATAGGTAGTTCCCATAACGATTTGTGAAATTTGCAAAAGGAAATGGCGTAATAATTCCTGACAGCCAATGATATTTTTTGTGGTGATATGATGGTTCCAGGTCTTGTAGTGGCAATTCTGTATATACATGTAACTGTGTTAGAGACTTGTATAACTCCTGATAACATTTTCTTACTTGTTCCTTTGGTTGACCCTCCATTGTTTTCAAAGACCAGACATCTTTTAATGGCCAAACAGGTTGTGTTTCGAGATGATTTGTTTGTGTTCTTTCTTGCTGTCCAAGAAGGAAGTCGTAGTACTTGATAATAGAATCATAAATATGTGTGACGTCGGCTTTAAACCTTTGGAAACCAGCATCGTTGTTTTTGAACCATGGATACACCAGAATATCATGTTAGATATACACTACTGTTTAAGTTTAATGCGAGTGTTATGATTTAGATAGTTTAAGTATAGCACAAATGTTAAATTTAGTTATTTTTACAAGCAATAGTTTATAGCAGGTTTGTTTAGGTAACTGTACAAATCATACATTGTGTAGTTCAATTGTGAATTGGTACTTGTATTATTGTGTCATGTTACTAGAATCTTCTAAGTTTTTCTCATTGTTTTAGTTAAATATTATTGCATTGTAATATCTTGTATTGTGTGGAATGTTCTAGGCCTTGGTAAGACTATAAATACATGTCCAAAATATTAAATTTAGTTATTTTTTACAAGCTATTGTTTATAACAGGTTTGTTTAGGTAACTGTACAAATCATACATTGTGTACTTCAATTGGTGTGAATTGGCACTTGTATTATTGTGTTATAATATCTCGTATTGTGTAGAATGTTCTAGGCCTTGTAGTTTGATTTAGTTAGTTAGATAGAAAAGCTAGATCTGGACTGAGTGATTATGAGTTTAGCCATAAAGAGCATATAGTGGTAGTTTCTAAAGTTAGATTATCACTGATTTTATTGTAACAACAGAGCAGGGAAGAATGATTCATCTTACCAAATTGTGTTGTAAAGTAACTGAACCAGCCTGTGTGAACTTTGATGAAAAAGAGAGGATTATTTAAAGCTCTGGATACAGTCATGACAACCAACAGTGTTAGAACATTTGTATATACATTTGACTTGTTTTAATATATTATTTTAAAAAAAGTGGACTGTGTGCTGTTTGTTGTTGAAATTTTTTTCCAACAAGTCATAGATACCTACTGTAAAGAATCTAGTCCATATGTACATAAAAACCTGACAAACAGACAACTTCTCTGCCAGTCCCTCAGGTCAGATGCTTCTTTCTGCCAAAGCAAGTACTTGTGTTTCAGATGCATATATTGGGAAGTAGAAAATCTTGCTGAAAGAACTTTGAATATAAGAAATATTGAAAAGCTCACACAAACTATAATAAACCTTACTAATATTTTGAATCAATATGTTTACAATATTCATAGATTGAACAAAAATTTATCATTTATCTATAAATACTCACTTCTAGTGTTGTAGACATACAGTGTCAAATCTTGGGGTAAATCACATAAT